GGTTTTAAAGGGGCTGTACACTTGTTTGTGGGAGATTTCGCTGCAATCCAGCACCAGAAATTTAACAAGTTCTCCACAGATGTGCATTCCCATTACAATATCGCATCTGGCCCTGTGAGACTAGGCATCTTCAATCTGTAATCACTTACTAATTCAGTCCTTATATGATTTGGAACAAGGCCTCATAATCTAAAGCCCCTCTAAAGCTGACCTGGAACACCTTACAGTACGTGGTTACTCTGAATGTAGAGTATGTGTGTGATTACATCATGTTACATGATTGAAAGTAATTGTTAAACAACAACATTAATAGCATGATTAATGATGTTGAATGTGCCTTTCTCACAAGGTGAAAGAAGGCCACTTACATGCCGTGCACTCCCTATACTATTGTTATAAAAGCACACCAAAGTAAGCCCTGCGCCACAGCTTTGACATAGCTGTGGTTTCACACTTGAACCTGACAGGCTGCTAAAAGCTGAAAGCTAACTATGCTTTACAAACCCACACTATTGCCAGGGTTAAACCAAATACTCCATAAACCAGCAGCTGTGTACTGTATGCGTGTCCCCATGTTGATTCACTCCAAAAGAATTTGCTACACCTGGTCGGTAACCCTTATTCAGCTGCTATGTGCGTATATACGTGTGTGTGTGTGTGTCTAAGCATTAATCCTTACTTGGTTGCTAAAACTTACTGTGAATGGCTTTCAATTAACAATGTTCTGACTTTTATGGATTTTCCATTTTGTAGACTGTGATCAACTGGTCAATGTCATCATTTCTCCTTCTATTAATAAGTCAAAAATAACTGTGTACTATTAATAATAATACCTCCATGCCGTGTTCAGTATCATACTATAGCATTTAATAAAAGGTCTTTCTAAGTAAAAACGTCTTTGAGCTGGTTTAAAAGAAGTCAGTGTCTGTGGAACCTTAAACAATCAAGAAGGGCATTCTAAAGGTTAAGGGCAGCTGAACAAAAGCCACGATCACTCAGTGTATGCAGTTTATTACTACGTATATGTAGTATATATTGCATATACAGTACAGTATAGTACAGCTGATGTAATGAAAATAGCTGATGCTGTCGGAGGTTGACGCAAGATTATTGCAGAGTCAACTTTTCACATGTTGAACTGTAAATATTCTAAATGTTAATGCTGAAAAACATTGATACCATTTAATTGAACATTTATTCCACAGTACTGTAGTTACTTCTCTATGTTTAGCCAAGCAAATTGGTATTTAAGTCAGTGTTTAGCAGATGTATAAAATAATGAAAGGTACAAGGAAGTTGTATCTAATAAACTAGAAGACACATTTAGTGTCTGAAGTTGGCTTCTTGTATAATGTGCTGGAGCTATGAGGCTAATGTACAAAAAGTGAAAAGTAATGGAGGCTTACCCTACTAATTAGCACCGCGCAAACCGCATGCCTCAAACCACATTGAGTTGTTAGGTAAGCTCAAATAGACTATTGTGGTTTCTGAAACTGTTACATATAAAGTATGTACTTAACAATTCCGCGCACACATTTGGCTGGGTATGAGTTCATGGCTTTTATGCTGTATTAGCTTCATGACTCCAGTGGAAAAACTCAAGAAGCAAACTGCGGACACCGAACACGTCTTAGCCAATTGACACCACTTGGGGCAAGACCGCGTAAATGAGATGGAATGAACTATTCTATTGAAAATGACTTTTAGTTTTAAGCTTAAAGATCCATTTAAAGGCATTAATGGTTTTGCAATAGCAACAGCATGGTGTTATGTTTTGAGTTTGTTTGACCGCGAAGCTTTATCTATGGGTGGGCTGAAGGGACTCCCCCAGAGCTTAGCATAGCTATGAAGACTGAAAAAGGGCACTCCCTCTTCTGAGGGTTTCCCCTGACTTCCATAAATCGCGCTGTTATTACTGCGTTACGACTGATGGAAGAGTGTGTGTGGCTGTGTGCCCGTGTGTGTGTGCACAAGACACAGAGCGAGTACGTAATTAATCTTTCTCCTGCTTGATATGATTATGACCTGTCAGGTGTGGTGTCTGGAACATAGCCTTCACACACCTATCATAGCTGTGCACTCATACACACACAGCGGCCATGATGACAGCTAGCTTTCTCACTGTCGAGGCATTTGTTTGTCCTGAGGGGAGCTGGAAATGATACACATGAAGGCTGTTTATATGTGTTTCTGTGTGCATGTGTGTGTGTGGTGTGTGTGCAAAAAAACTCACAATTGCTGAATGTAAACACATTTGAATTAAATAAATTATCAGTGTTCAAAGGCGGGGATTTCTACATAGCAAGGCATTTAAATTATGATGGTGAAAAACTCCCTCTATCATAAAATCTCAAGCACTGATATCAGTTTGGCTTTCCATAAATCATCTGTGAGTTAGTACAAAGCCTCTATAAAAAAAAGCCTTTATTCTCAGTCTAACAGTGACACTGAGGTGTTTAAAAACTCCAGCAGCACTGCTGTGTCTGATCCATTTGTACTAGCGCAACACACACTAACACGCCACCCAAATAATACCTGCTATGTGGTGGTCCTGTGGGGCTCCTGACCATTGAAGAACAGGGTAAAAGGGGAATAACGAAGTATGCAGACAAATAGATGGACTACAGTCTGAAATTGTAGAACTACAAAATGCACCCTTATGGTGCGTGGAGCTGATAAAACTGACAAAGAGTGTAGAAAAACTGAGGTGTACTTAAATAAGTAGCCAGTCAGTGCATATTACTCTATATGTAAGAGGCTGCATGATTATTTATTCCATCATAACTAGTCGTCATTTACCATGGCTAAAAAAAGTGTTACAGACATCATTACGTTCACCCCAAATGTTAAAAATACATATAGGACATATATATAAAAACAATGTGTGTGTCTACGTGTGGTTTTGTGTCATTTAGGCACCACATGTCCTCCAAGTATTATTTTTTAAAAGGTGCATTCCGATATCAGTAGCACCCACATGCTCGTAATCAAACAATCAAGCAAAATTCCCCCTTCTTTCCTTTGGTCATTTATGGACAAATTCCCCTCTGTGAAGGAATTCGGTGTCGATCTAATCTATGGTCCACTCTCATCAAAATTGCTGAGCAATGGCGAAGCAACGCCGATTATAGCTGGTTACTGGAACTGGATCACTATTCATTGCCAGAATAGGAGAGGCTGAGTCTAGTCAAGTCAAGTCAGGTTAACCTGCAAAGTCAGCACTCAGGCTAATAAAATATCCAAAGATCTATTTACAGTGCACCAAGTACACATTAATCTGCCAAGTACAGGCCTGAGGGTGTGTGGCAGAGGAGTCTTAAAACAATGAAGTCAATGATGTTCAAAAGCAAAAGTTTAAATATTTAAATATTAACTTCAAAGGTGGGGTGCTGACAGTTACTGAGTTCATTAACCCTTAAGCTTTAGGCTCATCAATCAGTTATTAATCTTAAAACATATTATTGAGTAACAATTATAAACTATTTGGTAACTACTATGGAACTAATGTTGAGGTTGAGAGTGAGGAATGGACCTGTCCATGATCCACCCACAAATATCATCTTTAGCAACTGCTGGAGAAGCTTTACAGAAGGCTGAAAAGAAAATTCCACTCAACCTAATACTGTAACACATTTTAACACACTGTATTTAGAGTCCTTACGTAACATCTACTTTAGAGTTTAAGACACTTCACTACAGTTCAAGACACTTTAAACATTTTGCAGGAAGCTGTAAAATGTAAAAAGTTTTGATGATGAACAGAGCTAGTGTTAATTCTAAAATAACTGAGAAAGCTACATAGCACTGAGAATAAATTCACAATAAAATTGACTTCCAGAATGCCTACATTACTATAAATAGATAATTATTGTGTATTGTATGGTTTATTAGTGTATTTTTTTTACTATTTACTTTTTGTTGTCCCCAAAATACCTTGTAAACCACTAATTCATGTTTGGGAGTCTAGTTTATTACACTCTTATAATAACCTACACTGTACACATTATTACTGAATAACCATTAGTAATATGACTAATATAAACTAAACACTAAGGGTATTTGTAGATGTTTTATTCAATATTTCAAGGATTTTTAGTTATTACATACTATATATGCTATACTGTATATACAGTGGAGTCCAAACGTCTGAGACAACTGGTGAAAATGCTTCTATTTTGCATTCCTTTTTTCACGTAACACAAAGTTTTTAATTACAAATGATATAATTCGCATGCAGTATGTGTTGTCTCTTCTTTTTTCTGTATAGTCAGTGTGCGCTTTAGCTGACATCAAATCCACCTGAGAGTCATCTGTACACAAGCTTCAATGAAACCTGACCAGTTTGTTCAAAGGCATTAAGATGGTCAATTTCACAAATCTGTTCATATTTGAATTTGTCTTCTTCAATTAAACTGTTCCACCTTTTTCTTTGTTTCAAAACTTTAAAGACTGTATAGCTTTTTGTTGTTTAATGGAATAAATAACACACACTATATATATATATATATATATATATATATATATATATATATATATATATATATTTATAGTCAATTTTGTCAAGCAATCTAATGCAAGATTTGATCATCACTTTTCAAATAGGCATTGTAAATGTAATTACGAATGAACTATAACCATAGTTATACAACTTAAGCAATGTCAGAATCACAGCTCCATTCATAATTTTGAACACATCTAACATTTTTTATACAGCTTCCAAGTACCCTACAAATGATCTGAAAGTTATTAACTTGCACAGTTGTGCACTACACTTCCTCATTAGGTTGAACAGAGTTTTTGCCAATGTTCTGTAAGGCTCTGTCCAACCTAGCAACAGTAACTATGATACAACCCATTTGTGGGTGAAACACGGACAGATCAACTGAAGTGTGGGTCGACACGTGGGCCTGAAATATTAAGGAGTTTAACTGATATATTGCCCCTGAAGACAGTTTAGAAAAGAGAGGCTGAAAGTAAAAATAAACATATGTGTCTCACACCTGCTCTATCTGGGCTCTGTGATTGGCGTGTGATGGTGGTCCTCTCGGTGGGCCACGGTGGTGTGTGTATCCCGGGTGACCGTGGTGAGCGTGATAAGAATGGTGGGGATGAACGTGGCCATCTTCATAATTCTCAGCAATGAGCTTCATCCTGCTTTGCGTCTGGGATTAAAAAGAAAAAAAAAAGTATCAACACCCTGTCTCCATAACAACAGTTGTAGGAACATAAACATTTTCACTGAGTTTAGCAGAGCTTTTAAAATGATTAAATATGGTTTGTGTGGGACGCATTCAGGAGTTCTGAAAGCCTTGCAATTTATGAATTATGACAGGCAATATATTGGCCGAGCTGCAACATCTAGTAAAAATACCATAATTCTCTTGGACGTGGTGCGTATTCGCGATTGCACATTAATTGGATTAAATTATTTCTGTTGGGGGAGAGTTAACTGGTGTTTATTTTGTGCACGAACCTGGCCACTGCATAAAAAATGCATATACACGTGATAAATGAGGGTAATTTTCCCTATCATTGATTAAAACTGATTAAAATTACACACAAATATGCATTTGGACCAGGAGACTTTGGTTAACATGATGTGCCAGAAGACTTTAGCGGGAGATAACATAAAAACTTATCATCCAGCGATCAACTTAGTCAGAAATGGTTGTTAAACAATCAACTGCATGCCAGTCAAATATGTTCTGAAACAGCGTCTGGTCTCCTTTCACTGCAACACACACATTTTTGTCAAATCAAACAAATTAGTGCTAGACTGTTTAGTTATACCTTTGTGAAAACCATTTCATCTGTATGTCTTTCAGTGCTTATCCACAGTGTTTGAACACATCTCAAAAGAACAGAGGAATGAAACGAAAACACGATAAAGTGGACAAGTGAATGAGTGAAAAATGAGGAGAAAAGGAATGGCTCCATTAGTGTTGGAGGCTCTACCGCGACTCTGAATTTTTGGATGCCATAATCCTGTGCTGGCATCTGTGGTGCAGAGGTTAAATATTACTTTTAAAGTTCATATTAAAGTTTACGATCCATGCAATGACATGACTGTTAAGGGATAAATGACAGACCGGGTTGGCTTTCAGACAGACGCTCTCTGCAGAGTAATTCAGACAGTAAGTGACGGGGGTAATGTATTTTGGGTGCAGAAGTTGCCCCTGCACTTTCTTATGACTTGCTGAATCACAGACGATGGCTATACCAGAACAGCCCTCAGCAGGGCTGCCTCTTGGAAAGTGGTATAGCAACACTCCTGTCCTTGTCTCAGGAAGCAAGACTATGATGTACAAATGTACCGACATATTATCTGGCCGACATAGACTCTTTTTTTTTCATCAGTGAAAAACACAGCAATAAAGAACTAATATTGCTTTGAAGTTTCTTATTTTATGTAAAATAAGAACACACACATAAAGCACAACAATGCCACCAGGTTCGAAGGGTGCATGTTAGCACTACAAGGTAGCATTAGCTTTGTGAAGGAAACAGCGGTACACACAATCACGCAGGTTCCTTTCAGCTCACTGAAGCCCCACTGATGCAAACTAGAGCTTAAATACTCAAATCTGAGTGAGTAAATCTGTTTTTTGCGCATGGAACTGTTAGCTTAAGCCATCATGAAAAGGATCAATTAGATTCCCAAATGGCAATGAACAGATTTTAATTTAAACATGCAGAGCAGGGGTCTCAAATTAAAAAAACCTGGGGGCCACAAGCCCGGTGGTCTTCTCTCAGAAGGGCTGGTAGAAAACATGTAAGGAAAGTATGTCTGAATTTTAACTACACACACACACACACACACACACACACATATATATATATATATATATATATATACACACACTCATTTAAACACATCCCAATGAAGACTTCTGTTACCACAAACCAGTATGACTACTTCTATTGAAGATGATGATGAAGATTATAATGATGATTATTATTATCATTATTATTATTGCAGTAGTATAAATACATACAGTGTCTAATAAACATTAGCCTTCACTTTAATTAGGTAAACTTACATTTAACAGTAGAATCACATGAAACTCTATGTTATATTATATAACATAGATCATGTCATATTATGATATCATATTATGATAGCATTGGCGATCCTGCTTAACACAGGTGAAGTCTTTGCTAAGTGAAGTGCTGTGAAAGGAGAGCAGTAATTTACATTCTCAGTGGATTCAAGTGATGATTCTGTTCATTTCTTAATTCTGACACACTGTGAATGAATCAGGCACATAGCGGACCCACAATTCGCTACTGGACTCTTTGATTCTTTTTAAAGGTCCACCTTACCCCTTAAGACAGAAACCGCTAATTAAGTACTACAACCCAACTGTCCCAACTTTTCTGGAACTGAGGTTTGTAAATTAAAGCCAGTCTAGAATTCCTGCTTTGTGTATGTGTGTATATGCATGAATATTCTTGGGCGTAACCTGTGAGAACATGTCCAATTTTAATCACACATGAACAAAATATAATGAGTAATGAGTAAGGTTTGAATAATAGCTACATATCTCTGTCAGACTATGTCCTTCTTTAGAAGGCAAGACATTCAAGTTAGGTGCAACTGAATGCCTTAGAGCAAACCATACCCCGTGCCTGCCTCTGCTGCTTAATGAAGAGTGAGAAATGAAGTGTCCAGCAGACATTAGAGGGAACAGTGATGTCATGCATTCTTACTCAAGGCCAAGGGTAAATAGACCTACTAAAGGCTCACGGTTTCACATAAAACAATATTAATCACCAGAGTGTATATTCAAAAAGATAAACAGTGCTAGCTGCATTCATAGATCCCTGATGAATCCTCAAGAGACCCTAAACTGCTAGGGGGAGGGGGGACGGAAGGGGGAGTGATGGAGGGAGAGAGAGAGAGGGCAGACAGAGAGAGTGTGTGTTTTAGGATGAATGGACTAATAGAAAGGGTTCAAAACTACTTTTTAGTAGTTTAGTAGTACTTTTTAGTTACTTAAAAGTTTTTAAAGTTATTTTAACACTATACTGTATTTAAGTTACATGAACTAATCTTAAAACCCTGTTTTGCTTTCCTATAAGCTTGACATAAGAACAATAGAAGAACCTTTTTGGGTGCTATATAGAACCCTTTTTAAAAAGGTTCTATGTAGATCCATGTCCATCAATCTGAAGAACCCTTTCATGAGGCAAAGTATCCTTTATTCATGCACAGGGTTCTGTGAGTATTTATGGTTCTATATAGAACCACTTATGACTTGTGTGGGTTCCAAAACCAGTCATTTTAACATGATTTTACATTCATCTTCCAACCTCTCATTGTTCCCATAGAATTAATTAGGCTGTTTTTCTTGCTGTGCCTTTAAGATTGACGTACGTAAATGACCTCTGTTCTCACTGGCTGCCTTGCATCATTCAAAAAGCAGTCTGCTGAAGGCTGAACAGGTGATGGAAATTCAGTTTTCCATGATTATATGCCCTTTAAGATTAATATGATAATGTCTGCACAATGCACACAGCTTACATGCATGCACACTAGGGGCATAACAATGCACATGTTCACAGACTGGATAGGATTTTCAATTCTGAGGTTAGGATCCAATGCAATTTTAGATTTTTTGTATGTTAAAAAAATGCTTAAAATGATTCTACAGAGCTCCAATTCTATACAGACCAGTTTGGCTACGATGAATAAAAGTCCTTCTGTAGAACTTTTTCAATGGCTGCCACGCCCACTATCAAAATAACCCCCATAAAATCACAAGCCCTAAAATATTATTAATTGTTAAAAAAAAACAATTAATAATAAACAACAATTGATTTGAAAAAGCCAAGTGAAATGAGTGTGGGTGTGTGTGTAACATTAGGCCCTCTCTATCCGTGTTTGCTGTACTTACTGTATTAAGAAATGATAACAGAACAAGTAGAGATTAAAAAAATGTTACTCTAGTGTGTAACTGCAAAGTACCAGGCAACCTTGGAAAACAACTATATTTCTTCATGATACCCGCCAGTGCTTACCACCAAAGCTCACTACAGCCAAGCTGTTGAAACTACCTGCAGGTCCTTGCTAGATTAATTAATCCTGGAAGAGTTACGATCCGCCGTGATTTTCAATCTGATATTTACATGCTACATGGAACATGGAGTGACTTCTTAAGACGTGAGCAATCTGTGGACACTACTAGATTAATGACAGACACGGGCATGTTTCTGACTAGCCTCTGACTTTAAACCATGCATTAAGATTTTTTGTACACTTTTAAACATGTTTCTTTATTCTTATAATGGTGTAAGTTTATCAAAAGAAATATCATTATCTCCATGGTTAAACAGAAGCATGCTTTAATTCGGCATGTCAAAATGGGGACCTTTCAGGCCAAAATGCTGCGGAGATTAGCGGTTTACCCTCATCTAATGCTCTGAGTTCAGTATATTAAGCCTTGCTAAATAGCTGATTAGCTGAATCAGGTGTGTTTAATGAGGTAGCCTGCTGAGGTCTGCAGTGCTTTGGCCCGCCAGGACTTGAGCTTGACACATGTGCTTTAATTGCACCTGTACAAATGAGTAATAGATTTAGTGGCCTTGTCAATTTGACATTTGCTATGCTACATCTATGAACTGTCTCTTATTCGTACAAAGTATGCCCTAAAGCAAGGGTGTCCAATTCTATCTGCAAAGGGGTGGTGTGGCCACAGGTTTTCACTCAAAACGAGCTGAAGCACACCTGATTCCACTAGCTTAATCAGTTCCTTTCAGGCGTCAAGCATTTGATCATGTGATCTCCTGCTTTGTTGGAATGAAAACCTGTAGCCACACCAGCCCTTTGCAGATAAGATTGGACACCCCTGCCCCAAAGTAATGCATGATGCAACTTACAGAGATTGACCTATAAGAGCTCTCACAAGTTAGCTAAGTGTTTTATGAGGAGATTAAAACAAATAATGAAAGAATTATAAATAAAACATAATAAAGAACATTAATCTTGCTTTCATATCATATGAAAGTTCTTTTGTGTAAATGCGCACATTTGTGAATTTATCATTGTTTTACCTACATAATTTTAATTAACTACAACTGTCCAGCTCGGTACCATATGACAATCAATCTCATCCATTTTAGTTAAAAGTCCGTCACATTCACAAGACGGACTCATAATTGT